CACAAACCCTAATTGAATCCTCAACCACACACTCACTGAATCAATGCGCCCTGGCCCTGATTATTGCAACTGAACCCTTGCCTGACCAAGATTAGGCTAGAACCATTTGAACCAAAAACAACATCACGCGCACGCACCTGTCCTAACAAACTTAAAATGAAACTCAATTCATCTTTGCAAAGCTGAGCTCAAAAGGAAGCAACGACGACACCCCCCTTTTTGGAGTTTCGAATGATGGTTAATTGACAGAAATACAGATGAAAGTATAAACAGGTACGACAAATTTGGGGTATGACAACTCTTCGAATAGATAAAAATATCATCAATAAACACAACCATAAACTTGTCCAAATACGGATGGAAAATCCTATTCATGTACTCCATAAATACACCCAGTGCATTAGTCACACCAAACGGCATCACAAAATACTCATAATGACCATACCTGGTTCTAAAAGTAATCTTCTGAATATTTTCAGCCTTCACACGAATTTGATGACACCCAGACCTCAAATCTATCTTACTGAACACACTTGCACCAACCAAATGGTCCATCAGATAATCAATCTTCGGAAGTGGATACTTATTCTTAATAATCACATTGTTCAATTGTCTATAGTCCACACAAGTCTCATAGAACCTTCTTTCCTTTTAACCAAAAAAACTTGTGCACCCCACGGTGACACACTCGAACGAATGAATCTCTTCTCAAGCAGATCTTCGAGTTGAATCTTTAACTCTTTCAATTTCGATGCGGACATACGATATGGAGCCATCGATATCGGACTAGTTCCAGGAACTAATTCAATCGCAAACTCCACTTCATGTTTCGGTGGTGTCGCTACTCGAAAAAATGCATCGCGCAACGATGGGGAGGCGAAAATAATAGACAGAAGAGTCGCCACCGAACTTTATTTATCCCATGAGGGGAAAGGAAAATATCGAGAAAACCTTAAGAAAGAAATGGATAAGATGGTCTCGCGACCAAGAACGGGTTCGGAAGCCGGTTATGCGAGGGGAAGGTATTAGCACCCCTCGCATCCATCGTACTCGATGGGAACCTTTTGTTTGTCGACGTGTGAATTTATTTGCTTAAACATTATGCTATAAGAAGTGTTCTACGGGGTAAAAGAAAGGTTAGAAACAAGAAAGTTAGGAGGAAAGAGAGAACAGGGAAAAAGAGAAAGAACAGACTCGGTAGGACTTCGCAGTCCTATGCCTACGTATTCTCAATAAATGTGAGAAAGTCAGAGTCGACGTAGTTCGGGGGACTACAAATATGGGGGGAAAGTGCTCGCCAAGACATCGTCGTCTTGTGCCTACGTATTCTCATCTGGTATGAGAAATCAGAGCAGCCGTAGTTCGGCCAACTACGGGTGAAAGGTGAAAAAGGGAGCTCGCCAAGACATCGCCGTCTTGTGCCTACGTATTCTCATCTGACATGAGAAATCAGAGCAACGTAATTCGTGCTAACAGTGTGTTGATGTCTTTACGGATGATGCTATCGTGCGCATTCTAGCAGTTAGGTGTTTTGCTGCTCGCTCGTTGGAGACTTAGGCATTACCTGTTTGCGGTAGAACGGGCGTAACATATCCTGTTTGAAAGATTGGATTTCGCCATGCGAGGCAAGGTATCATGTTTGATTGGTTGAGATTGCTTTTGGGGCGAGATAGGTCCTCGGATAGTAACCCCTACGGGTAGTACCCAATTCTTTATCTCAAAGTTTTTGTTATGAAAGGTGTGGCGAACAAGGCGTCTTTGTATTGAAAGACGAGCGTCGAAACCACCCTCACTACAGTGGGCATCCCAACGCTCGGAGAAGAAGAGGTCTACACCCAATCCTCTCTCTTTAATTCAATGCAAAGAGAACTTCGTTCTCTTATTAAAGATGTTTTTGGTTTTGAATGGTAAGTGCTTTTGTGACAGAGAACCCTACGGTAAATATCAAGCACTCGGGATAGGAGAAGGCCTACGCCTAACCACTCCACGACCATTCAAGTTTTGTATATGAAAAGGAATTGAAAATGCACTCGGTACAGGACCGAGGTTTTAGGTGAGAAAGAAATGTGAGAGAAATTGTGAGAAGGTGTGGAAAGAGATAGGTGGATAAAGTCGCGTCTTCGTATTGAAAGACGAGTATCGAGACCACCCTCACTACTGTGGGCATCCCAACACTCGAAGAAGAAGAGGTCTACACCCAATCCTCTCTTTTTAGTTCAATACAAAGAATTATTTGTTTATTGAAGAGATTTGATAACCTACCAAAGAGATGAGATAGATGTATACAGAATACGGATAAATAAACAGTCCACCAATTAGGATTTTATGGTTTGATATTTATTAAGTGTTTTGTACAAGTTAGTTTGAATATATACAAGATAATAATATACAGAATATATAATATGTACAAGAATGTAAATGACTGGAAAATAAAGCAGTTAATATTTGACAGAAATTAAAGCAGTTGCACATTGGTTAGTGTATCGAATCGGGGCACAAAAGAATGCGATCTCGTCTTAACCACAAACAAAATGTCGATTAATCGAAGGTAGCCTATTGCGATTCCAAAGTAAGAAAGATGACCCAAATGGTCATCCCCATAGATTTGAAATCAGGAAGGTTATCGACTTCGAAAATCTGACGCTTGCGGATAAAAAGACTTCATCGATCCAAATAGTCAAAATAAAAATTGAAATAAGAAATAAGAAAGAAAAGAGGTGGTCTCAGATCCTTTGTTTCACGTCAATAATTTGACGGCTAAACGGTGGTGATCTCGTCATCGACCCAAAACAAGGAAAATGGGACAAAAACATCCAATAATAAATGAGTAATGGATTCAACCTCTAAAAAAAATAAAATGAATATAAAGTAAAACTCTAAAAGGAATTTGAATACAAATCTAAATATAAAGTAAACAATATATATTTACAAATATACTAATAATAACATATTCCAAAATAAGATATAATACAAAATGAAATAAAATAAATAAGAAAAGAGAGGGTGGTGATACGGATTAAGGGATCTGGAAAATGGAAGGCAAATGGGCTTCTAGGCCCAAAACACACGAAGCCAAGAGGATCAGCCTCAGGTCTGATACCACCGAAACAAACCTGAACGCCAGCAGAGTCCGACCCTCATTGTATCGATACCATCAAATCCAGAAAAGCTCAACCAAAACGCACATCTCTAACTCGATCCTTCCCCTTTCGTGATTTCTAGTATGAGCAGTTTATCCAAGTTTACACCATTTGATTCAAAGTCTATTGTTTTATCTTCGATCCTCTTCACCTTGTTTCCATTCTCGGTCTCTGTTCTTTAGTTTTTGAAGGAAGGTGATTTAGCAATTTGAAGAAGAGTTTGCGGTTTATGGGTTGTTGTTGTGAAGAAAATTAGTGAAGCAATGTTTTGAAGAGGGATGAATATCGCCTGGTCATGGAACGAGCAAAGTGTTGCGTATGGTGTGGTTCGAATAGGATCGCACACCATGTGTTTGTGAAAATGACCTCTTGTCGCTTTTGGGAACTGCTTGATCACAGGTTCTAATATTTATGGTTTCAGCTTGCGGTGGATGGTCAGCAGCTAGTGAGCGCATCAGTTGTTTGGTTGGGTGATACAATAGCAGAAATATCCTCTAGGAGAACCAGTTGTCGAGATCACTTTTGGAGTTTGAGTTGGTGCGAGACGCGGTGTGAGGAGATGAATTTCTGGAAGGTGATTGAAGGATGTTGATGAAGTTTTGAGGAGGAATGGTGATTGAATTTTGTTTTGGAAATGTTTCAGATGCAGAACATTGGACAGTGTCGTGATGAGTGAGTCGTTGGGATAATTTGTCGGAAGAATTTGTTGTGCGGCTGTTGAGGTGAGGTTAAAAAAAGGCTTGAGTTGGTTGAAGAAGATGGAATTCTTCTGGGTTTTCACGGTGGTTTCGAGTGGTGGAAGTGGTGGCTGCGGTTTTATTGTGGAGATGCGTTGAAGGTTTTGACGAGAGTTGAGAAATTGGATGAGGTTTTAGGCATTTCAGTGCCAGCTTTTTCTTTTGCTTTTCGAAACTCTTCTCTCAGTATCTCATTTTTGGTTTTTTGATGGTTATGGAATTGAGTGATTGTTGAAGGTTTGTGTTACCGTATCAATGATTCAAGGTGGTTGCGAGGTTATTTTGGCAAGGCGGCGTGTGATTAAGGCACAAAGATGAGGTTCTGTAGTTTGATGGGAGTTTATTGGAAACAGAAGAAGATGATGTATGAAGTTTTGAATGAAATGAGTTGAAGGTTGAATTTATTTTTCAGAGGTTGAAGATGGATGAAAGTGGTGAATGAGGGAAGGATTCAAAGCTGTTGTATATTTGTTCTAGGTGCAGAAGTTTTGGTTGGTAGTGATTTATAACAGGTTTTGAGAAAAAGGTTTTGGAGTGGTTAGTTAATGGTGAATGAAATTTTGTTGGAGGTTTTTAAGAAGTGTTGAAGGAGAGAGGATTTGTGATGAGGATTCCAAAATGAAGAATGGAATCTTGGTTTTGATGCTTCAGGTCCGAGGAAAATGGTGGAGGAGTCAGTCTTGAAAGAAGGATTTTTTGTTGTGAGAAAAGCCCTCCTTCTTGCTCATTCTGCGATTTCCTTTTTTTTTGTACAGGTTATGCAGGCTGTAGGTATGTTTGTTGGTCTGGCATGGAGGAGTAGTAGCAGGGTAGTGTGTGCAGAGTATTGTAGCAGGCTAGTGTGTGCAGAGCTGCCTGTACTACCTTCTCATTTATGTGTTTCTTTTGTTGCATTACAGGTTGTCTGTCTGGTGTGGGAGGAGTTAAAGCAGAATTCGTCTGGTTTGCTTTGTGTACAGGTTTCACAGGTGATAGCAGAATGGTTTGTTGGTCTTGGAATTTCCGGTGGCGTACTGCACCTAATCAACGCCCAGTTCACGCCTTCGAAGAAAGGATGTTGTTTGAGCTCGGTGGCGCCTCTCTTCATTCCAAGACAGTTCTGTGGCTCCTTCACAAGCAAACCTCAGATTAGATCCCGGCTGGCATAACTCGTAGCTGGTGACTCGGGAAACTTGAGCTGCTGCCCTACTACATTGAACAGTGTAGCTCGGTTTCCGGATCCTTTGAAAGGGGTTTTACCATACAATAACTCGTGCAAGAAAATGCCGAATGTCCACCAATCAACTGCACTTCCATGACCTTCTCCTTTGATTATTTCAGGGGCGAGATATTCATGTGTGCCAACAAAGGACATCGACCGGGCTGATGTAGGCTCGGCAAGAAGTTCTGGAAGTGCGCTAGTTGTCAGGCCAGGATCCGCTTTAGGCTTTCGTGGTTTTTTATTTTTCTGAGAAAAAAGCTTTGGCATAAAACAGACAGGCTGGATGCATACAGATGTAGGCTCAATACAAGCAGGCTGGACACAAAATGCACCACCAGCTGCCCATTTTGAAGCATCGCTGTCGTGAGTTCTGATAAGGGTAGGTGAAACAACACACCTAAGAGAAAGATCGAAGTCTGAGAGCATTATGTGGCCGTCTTCTCGAACAAGTACATTTTCAGGTTTAAGGTCTCGATAAACAACTCCGAGCATGTGAAGATATTCAATTGCTAACAGGACCTCTGCGGCATAAAAGCGTGCAGCATACTCTAAGAAATGTTTCCCTGGTTGTCGTTGCCTTTATTTTTTACTTATTCTTCTTGTTTCTTTTTCATGTGTGACCTGTAAATCCGGAGCGGGAATTATGAGCAACTTGGAGGATGCATCCTTGTGTGTGAGTCGGGTGCGGAATACGTCGACTGCATAGCAATCGTCACAGGTACATTATTGGTGCCTTTGTTCACATGACGACCTGAATGAAATGGTTCTGTTGTAGATTTAAGTTTTAATTTTGCAACATTTTCACACCAGAATATTTCCTATTGTATCAAACGTTGTGAGCTTTTACTATCCTGTCAAGTTGGCTGACGAATTTAACCGCGTGTTCACATGGCTTGCGGTTTCGTGAGTCATTCATGGTTTTGCATCTCATTTTGCATGATGAATTGCATAGTGTACGGGATGCCGCGGCGGTCTTTGTATTACCCTGTTTTGTGTAACTTGCAGGTCTCATTATTCTTGCAGTACAAAATCATATCGCCTAGCATGGCCTTTGTAGAAAAAGAAATGGGCTTTGTTGAATTTGGATGGCAATGTTTCTCAAATCATCGATTGCCATAACGTTGTACTACCGAATTTCAAGCTTGACAATATTCAAAGAAAACACATCCCAGCCAAGAGAATTATCCGCAACATTGAAGGATCCATCGTCAATAAAGCTTGCGCTTCTTCGGTGAGACGTAAATGGAGAGAGAGTCATCTTGAGAAACATCAATGTTGTATTAAGCCATACTATAGAACCTTCTTTTTTGTAACTGTTGTTGGATTCTAGGCTAATACAAACTTTCAACATAATTCTGTGACATCAAATATTGTTTATGGAATTCATTACATGTTGTTAACGTGCAATAACAAAGGTGTATGTCACTTTAATATTTTTTTAACCAAAATTTGCTAGCTTCATTATTCTCCAATTATGAAAACTTGCATACACCTTGACCCACCTTATAACATAACAATAAGTAATAGCAAGAATGCACATTTTGAATCCATGAATTTATTCGTCATTAAACTCTCCTTAAAAAATAAACCGATATTGCCTCGCCTCTCCTTGTTATTTGGAACAAACTTTTTCCACGGCCAAACCTTCTCACCTTAAGAAATATTATTCTTCATGCTTGGAGTTTGACACCAAATTCACAATGCCTAAAGCACACAACCCATATATTAAATATCTTCGCAATGCTGCATGGTTCATTATGGTACACCCTCACTCTTGGAATTAATTCCCAAAGACATCCACAATCTTGAATCTTTACCTAAGGATGAATAAAGGCGTGATTCCATGTTTAAACGATCATAACCACTTTCACCAAGGCTTTGGACCTTATTTGATCAAATGTGAACTCAACATAAAACAAAATCGTGCGTTTGCAAACTCCTTGGGAAAGTCATGACCACATGTGGTCATACTTTGATGAATGGATCCACAAACGAATAAATCTTGAGCGCAACCACTTGAGCCATGATTAACCACCGTCCTCCTTATGGAATCTTTTGAACAACTATCTTGAATCCATTCCAAACCATCTTGAGCTGGAACAAACCTAATCTCAAACATACCTCACTTAATCCACGCACACCCGGTCCCAATCATGAAACTAAATCTTGCCTGCCCATATTGAGAACATCACTACACACACAACCTTAACATGAATCCTCAAACGCACCCTAATGTAAATGTAGTTCGACCTTGCAATCTTCTGAGTTTAGTCAGCAAGCCAAACAACATATTTTTGGATTTTGGAATAATGCCAATAGACGGACGCACAAATGAAGTCTATACTGGTAAGACAAATTTGGGGTATGCTTATGCAATGTGATATGCTAATGTAATGAAATGAAACATAAACCAGATGGAGAAAAGGTAGGGCAAATTTTGGGATACAACAGCTGCCCCTATTCAAGCGACTTAGACCTGAATGGATGAAAAGCGAACAGCTTTCAGACGATCATGGTAAAAGGCGGTTGAATACCAAAGAGACCTAAAATTTGCCAACCGTAAAAGGAACTTCTGACATCGCCGTCAGGTACCCATATTAAGTAGAACATCTGACTTCGCCGTCAGCTCCTCAAAATAATCTTCTGACCTCGCCGTCAAAATTTTTTTCAAAATCGTCTTCTGACTTCGCCGTCAATCCTCAGAATAATCTGACCTCGCCGTCAATTTTTCCGTTAAATATGAACAGCCATTAAATTCAAAGATATAATTACTTTTGACATCGCCGTCAACACAAGCATCTCAACATCGCCGTTGAAGAATCAAATCACTTGACATCGCCGTCAAAACAAACTTCTCAACATCGCCGTTGAAGAATCAAATCACTTGACATCGTCGCCAAGAACAGATATCCAACATCGCCGCTGAAAGACAAAATTACCTGACATCGCCGCCAGCTAACTATAACTCTGAGAAACACCTGACATCGCCGTCAAGTACCTGTGGGGATACAGAACTCTGGCATCGCCGCCAGACAACCATGGTGCTAATAAACCTCTGACATCGCCGCCAGACAAACATAAATCTGATAAGCACCTGACATCGCCGTCAACTCTCAACATCGTCCAATGATGGACGGAGAAACATTATATCCAAAATTCACATCGTCTAATGGTAGACAGGAAGAACAATATCCAAAATACTCACATCGTCCAATGATGGACAGAGAGGAAAACCATAACCAAATCTCGCATCGTCTAACGATAGACGAGAGGAACATCAAAACCCAAATCTTGCATCGTCTGCAAATCTCGCATCGTCTAATGATAGACGAGAGGAACATCAAATCCAAATCTTGCATCGTCTGCAAATCTTGCATCGTCTAATGATAGACGAGAGGAACATCAAATCCAAATCTTGCATCGTCTGCAAATCTCGCATCGTCTAATGATAGACGAGAGGAACATCGAATCTAAATCTTGCATCGTCTGCAAATCTCGCATCGTCTAATGATAGACGAGAGGAAAATCTGCTAGGGATGTCATCATCAAAGGGTTGATGGACAAAGTACGACCGACGTATGATCTGGAAGCCAAAAGTAAGCAAGCAAATGAGCTGTCTGAACAAAGCTGTTGATATACCACTGTCTTGATTGAAGAGTGATTCAGGTTGCCACAGAAGGCTAACAAAAACTGGCTTATGCTTTGCATGCATATGTTTGAATATGTTTAATGACGTAATGCTCTATACAAAATGGAAATGTTACGCATTTGAGGATGAGATGCAAAGATGATGCAAATATGATAACTATATGCGAAAATGCAAATGCAGGCTCGGGCTGCTGGGGAAAGCTGGATCTGAAAGAATCACTCCAGCAAAATAAATGCTGAAGAGGTGAAGCCAACTCTGCTGGGAATGACCGGATGTGCCAAGTACGATCGGACTCTCCTGGGGATGGCTTACACATGCCAATGATGATTGGGCTTTTGCTGGGGAAGACAGGTGAAGGGTTACGACTTCCCGACATTCATCTTGAACCTGAAGATTGACTGCACCTGCTTGAATAGCTCTGAGTAGCTCTAAAGATATAGGGAGGAACAATTCCTTTACTTCTGATTTTGCCCCAGCCTGTGGGATCTCTGTGGGGATGTTCCTTGAAAGGAAAACTGAAAGCTCTGTACCATGTTGGTACGATATGAACTGCCCCAGCACTATGAACCTTAGAGAGGTACTTCCGATTAGCTACCTTCTGGGTAAGGATAATATCTATGCTCTTGGGGTGACCTGCCCCAACCTAGAAGTGATTTGCCCCTGATTGGACGATTTGTAGAGATGTGCCCCTGGCTGACTTCGAGAGATTTATCGAATCTCGACCTGATTGCCCCAGATTAACTGATCTTCGGATGGCTGACTCCTTTGATGATCATTTTATATGCCTTGTCCCTGCTCAACGGAGTACTCAAGTGTTCTGCATCTTACCGATCAAACTTTCCACTGTAGAAACTTTCCTGCTGACAAGTGCTTACTCACAAGTAAAACAAATTGTTTTGCAAATGATAATATCAATGCAATGCATATGACAGTTTTGAAATCCAAGTCTGTTCACTAGAAAAAAGTTGTGATATATAGTGAATGAATCGCTTATCGGAATGTCAATATCAATACCCATAGGTTAAGAAAAATCCTTTTTAGGAGTCAGTTTCGACGCGATCTTTACCGAAGTATGCTTTCGAAACAAACGTGCTTCAATTAGGACTTTCAAAGGTTGTAACATGGTCAGGTTCACGGTTTGAAAGAAAGGATATAAGGCTCAAAGTTCTGTTTAACCCACCCACTCTCCTTGATATTCTCCAATCCTATGTTCAGCTAATTCGACACAAGCACTCACCTCCCAATGGCTGAATGATAGAAGTGATGGTTCAGGAAACCACAAGTCTTCGGAGTGACAGTCACTCGCTTTTTTTTGGTGTCTGGAATCACACAACTTGTTCTTCGTCATTTTTTCAATTTCCCTAATTTTGCCTGGACTGACTCGTTCGAGTATATCTTCTGATTTCGAAGTCCAGCGGGATGCCCTAGTTTTTGCATAAGCCACTTGTTTTCAAGTTGTCGACTTAGCGGGCTTCTTATTTTTTTTTTCTCTTTTCTTTTCTTTTCGGAACAAATCGTGTGACACCGGCTTGTCTGACCTGTTAAAAGGGATTGTGACTGTCTCACTCCTTGGTCAGTAATGGATAACCACTGTGGTTTTTTAGGTATAACCTATACAGGTGTGATTGATCCTTGAACGGGGAACACTCCTTCTGCAATCTGGATGCTCGGTCAAATTAACTGACATCTACCCTGCCCTAGGTTAAGATTGAGGGTTTTTCGTTTTCAGAAAGAAACTCCTACTACTAGGCTCAAAGGGGTTGACAAGGGATTAACATCCTTATATCTCCGGTGTTTAGGAATTTGAAACAATGCCTGTACATCATCAACAGAGATTTTATTC